AAATGCTATACCAAATTTTGGTACAAAGTACCAGCACTTTGAGTGCATAATCCGTAAAATCCATTCTAACCGTAAATTTTTATTTAATTGGAGTGATTCAGTGATTTTACGGTAATCATTACTGCAAAAATTACGATTTATCAGATTTTTCTGGTAAACTTTTCTGGTAATTTTTTTCTGGTAAAAATGAATTCTGTGGTAAAATTCTGAAATTTCAAGTAACGGTGTTACCATATATTATATTACTAATATAATTCTCGAAAAAAAATTTCTTTAAAAGAATGGAATTTTTTTTATCTTTGAAAACATTAAAAACTATTTTTTTTTATTTATCTTCATTACAGATTTAACGGCATATGCTCAGAAATATTTTGTTGTCATAAAACTTCGAATGCTGCCAAGGATGTTTTTTTATTTTCATTTCGAGAGCTCAATTTATTCAAATGAAAATTGTATAGCAAACTATTTTAACTGAGTTTTAAAATACACAAAGTTCAAAGATATCAAATTTTTGATTAAAAAAAAAGCTTTTAAATTACAATCTTATGCTAAGAGTAATAATACAGTACATTTCTGAAAAAAATAAACTTTTTTTTGATAGTTCTCCCTTAAAAATGAAACAAACATTTGCCTTTTTTGGTGAAAAAAAAATTCTTAGTGAATGCTTAATCTTATCAGTGAGGGAGGGGGCACCATAAGGGTGCCTTAAGGAAAGGAGGCGGAATCTATAAATCAGTGGCGTGGGAGGTTTATGCGAAGCTGACCAAGTTCTGTTTACACTGTTCTGTACACACTTCACCTTCAGCTAGATTAGATGGAGAGATTATGAGGTTTTTAAGAGGTTGAACTCTCTATTCAACTTACTCAGAAGACTTTTCTTTCTTTTTATCTAATCTGCTGTTTCAACTGACACAAACGGCCAATGTTTTCATAAAAGCGTCCTGTTTGTTGGGTAACGCGATAAAATTGCAAATGAACTGGAAAACCTGTCCTTATAGGTATTATCAGTGTCTCTGTTTTTAGTAGGAATGTTTCGGTTAAAAGAAATGAACAAGCTGTTTAACGGGAACACCTTGGCATACAACAAATAGTTGTTTTTTTTAGAGTTAAATACTTTAGAAAAATAATTACAATTTATTTTTCTGTTGTGTGCTTGTCCCATAAATGTATATTCTCTGTAACAGCAGTATTTTGCAATTGATAAATTGTAGTTTTTGTGTGAGTTACTTTGGAGCATGTTTAGTTAAAAATCTAAGCAAGCTTGTTTATTTATAGATTATGAATCTGTGTTTCAATTGAAATAAATATGAGCGTAATTTGGGAGAGGATGTAACATAGCTTTGCCCGGAAAATGACATATGAACATTAATATGTTTTGTCCAGGGCTTGATTTAGAAATGCGTGGACCCTAGGTTGCACAGAACTGTCAGGGGTCTGGTCGTTACTTTAAACGAAATTTATCCGTTGTTTAATAATGAAGTGCTTATAAATTATTTATAATATGAATAAATTACGATATATTAGTAAATTTGAACTTATATCTATTTCAATCTCCGTTAACTCATAATTCTGATAAACAATTCTTAAGGAAAAACCCAAAAAGAAATTATTTGTAACATTTAGGGGGCCTTCAGACATGAGGGGGGCCCTTGGCCTCACAGGCCTTATGATAAATCAGACACCGTGTTTGTGAAACAAATATAGACAAGTATGTCTGAGCCTTCAGTCGGGGTGGCTAGAAAGCTTACCTCTCTATGATAATGAACCAAGGTTCGAATCCCAGTGATATCTGGTTGACGTAAAATATCTTCATTGAAAGACATATGTTTGGTTAGAGCCTCCATTGTTGAATTTACCACGAGAGGTTTTCATGGTTTTCCTCTTAGTGTAAAGCAAATATTGATAAATTTATGTGTAAAGCAAATACAGATTTCCTCTCTGTGCAAAGCAAATCCAAATAAAAAGTCCTCCACGATGGCTAGTTAATTCGAAGGCTTCATCCAGGAGGTCGCGTCTTCTGGGTTAAGATGAAAATTATTGAAAATTTTATGTTAAAGCGAAAATTTGTAAAGAATTGAAGAAATCTCCATAATGAGTTATATTTCTGTAGTTAAAAACATCACGTTTTAAATATTTAATTTATAAAACATATAGATTTGAAAGACAGATAGAAATATATTTAATTAATATTTTAATATTATAATTTTATTTAATAATAATATTAATAATAATTTCAAACCATTTCTCGCCAGTTTTTTTAATTTAGTTAATAATTTTTATTTATTAAATATACTTGCAAAATGTAGAATTTTGAAGGAATTTTAGAATGTATGACTCAAAAGAATAAAATATTTGTTTATAAGCAATATGTTTATAATTTAATATTTTAGTTTTAGCCTTATTAAACTCAAATTTTTAAGTTTTATATTAAGGTAAAACGAAATAAAGTAACCTCTTACAGAAGACAATGCTTTACTGCAGAAAGGATTAAACTCTTTTAACTTGAATACGTCAGTGAGTTAATAATAATTTCATTTATATTTATTAAAAAACTGAGCAAAATCATTATTTTTAACAGTCTCGCCACTGTTAAATCAACCAAACATACGTAATACGCCAAGATACCATTTACTTCTAAGAAAATTTACTGTAATTTTTGAATTGAAAAACTTGATTCTTAAACACGACAACAAGTTAACTTATTTTAGCAGTTTTGATAGATACTTAATAACTAGTTACATAAATAGGATTTAATATATATAAATGTACATTCATTTTGCAATTTGTTTTATTATTGAAATAATTTACTTACGTATTTTTCTGAACGTAAAATTTTCACCAATCGCTAAAAACTGATTAGAGCATGCCAAAAAATGTTTTTTTCAACGATGCATTAAGAAGTTCAAATTCTTTTGATATTATTTTCTTTTGCAACATGTAGGTAAATAATAAAGTTTTTTTTTTCTAGTTTGAGTTACTAACTTCTTCAAACTGAAATAATAAAAAAAATTTTTCCTTACAGTTACTAAATCATTTTAGCTATTAAAAGTCTCTTACGAAAACAGAAGTTGATGACTCATAGAATAATTTATTCCATTTCGTTGATATAAAAAAGGCAAATTTTACATCAATGTGATTTTTATTTAATTATTCTAGAAACACGAGGCAATCATAAAAAAATTTAATGGAGATGGAAATTTCGAAGATTGTGTAGGACTTTCTTTTAAGAGCTGATGAAAAATGATGTTTAGTCTTGTAAACATTTTTCATTTCTATTATTTAATGGTGTTGAGTTAGCTTATTTCCGTGTTGACATTCACTGCCATCCGAAGGAACATATTTTTAGAATAGCTGTTGAGATTGCATACTCATTTTTTCCATCAGGAAAAAGAAAATTTGAGCTACTTTTAACAACATTACCATCTACAAAATTCTATCATGAAAATGTAGGTTTAGGATAGCCTTGATGCATTGAATTTCTTTTCATATAATGATTTTTCTTCGATGTCTGTGGTATGAAATATGTAATTTGAATCTACTTGACTGTTGAATAAAGAAAAAGGTGAAATGTTACTTTCGCCTAGCCTATATTTTTGTAGTATTATAAATCGGGAAACCTGTATTTCGGTAGAATATTAGTTGGATAACTTCCATGTTAGTAATACGAATACGAAGGATTCGAAGGATACGAATACGTTAGGAATACGAATTTTCGCTATGTGTGATATGGTCAATAGTAGTATTCTGACAAGTTATATTTTAGAATGACTAGTTGAGTAAACTATATTTCGTAAGTATAATTTATTTGAATAATCTATATTTCGGTAGTACCATTAGTTGGTAAACCCATATTTTGGTAGTATTATTAGTTGGTGACCAAAATCTTGGTAATATTATTATTCTGGTAGCTTATATTTTAGTATTATTAGTTAAGTAACCTATATTTTGTTAGTATTATTAGTTAAGTAACCTATTTTTAGTTAGTATTATTAGTTAAGTAACCTATATTTCGTTAGTATAACTAACTGGGTAACTTGTACATTGCTGTAATTATAAGTTTAGTAATCTATATTTTGTTTGTATTATTAGTTGGATAGTAGTCTGGTTATTTCGTCAGTATTATTACAAGGATAATAGCCTGGAAGTTTCATTAATATTATTAGTTGAGTAACAATTATTTTGTTAGCATTTTCAATTAATGTAAACTGTAATTACTTCTTTTTATGCTCAATTTATATAATTTTCTTACACAAGTAATTATAGTACATTTATCGAAATACTCACAACATAAAAATTACTCAACTTATAATACTACCAAAATATAGGTTACCCAATTAATAATACTAATGTAATATAGATTTCGTGACCCATAATAATAAAATATATACTACCAGAATAATAATACTCGTACTATCAAAATTTAGGTTACCCAATTAATAATACTATCAAAATATAGACTTTCCAACTAATAGTACAACCGATATAAGGATTACTCAAAGAATAACTCTAACGAAATACGGGTTATTCAACTAATACTATATAGGTTGCCAGAATAATAATACTACTGACATATAGGTTACCCAACTAATAACGCTACCGAAATACAAGACAATTTTTTAAAAATAAGTTTGAATTATTTTCGCAACATTAGCGCTTGGTCTGCTACCTTATAAGATTTTAAATAATTTGCTTTAAACCTTCACCGCATCACAGCCAGACGAATAACAGATTTTCCTTTTAGTAATTATGTACCAATATCAAAACAGCTTATTTTGGAAAGTTTTTATTCAGACTATTACTTTTAAACTTTTATAAAAAGGCATAAATTTTAAATCTAACCCGACAAAGCATCTGATATTTTCCGATTCTCAGCAATTTTTTCACATTTTTGCTTAATGAAAGGAATAAAATCTCTCAAATAATCTTAGGAATAAAGGAAAATTTATGCTTAAGGATTTTCTCAAGAGAACTATAATAACTAAAAAATTTTGAAAACTTACTCATGTTCTTTACTTTAATCTGGAGTTGGTCATAAATTCGAACAAAATCATGGTACAGATGAAGTGGTTTTTCTATTACATTTTATTCAGACATTCCTTTTCTGTTCTTATTACATCCGAAATACCGGAAAAACCGCCAGGAGGCGTTTGTGTACCAGACGATTTTGTTCGTTTGCCACGCACTATCATTATCGAAATAAATTCCGCCTACAGAATCACCATTTTGGGGGTAGGACGCGACGCAAATGGGGCATTTGTCAGATGAAATGTCTATCGGCGACCACTTCCTTGCTTTATACACACCGATCTTTTCGAATGTTTCAGACGATAATGAGAAGACTTGGAACAGATATAGAGAGTTAGCGTATACAGAATATTAAGAAATAATTAAGTTAAAAATGAAAGAAGAAAAGGACAATATATATTGCTGAAGGAAATCTTTTTATAAAAATAATAATGTTTAGCATATCAACAATTTAATATGGGAGCACTTTTGGGTTGATTAAATATTAAATCAGATCGACTACAAAAGTCAGGTGCTAAAAATAATGCACGTAATAATGCAGAATATGTTACTAAATAATAAATTAAACATAAAAGAGAAATAGATAATAATGTATGTAATATTTTTTATAGAAATAATCATGCTTACTAAATTGTTTAGCTTGTAAACAATTCAATATGATAAAATAAATTAACAACTATAAATGCTGAATCAAGTCACCGAATGAGCAAGATCGGTGCTAAAAATAATGCACGCAATAATGTAGAATGTTACTAAATAATAAATTAAAAATGAAATGTTAAAAAAAAAAGAGAAACGAATTATAATGAATATCATCAAATGAATAAGTCAGGTACTGATAATATTTTTTTGTCGAAATAATTAGGTTTAGCTAGTAAAAATTTCTATATGATAGTATAAGTTAACTGTTATAGATGCTAAATCACAGAACATCGATTGAGAAAATCAAGCAAATAATATTGTAGAATGTTACGAAATAAAAGTTAAAAATTAAATAAAGAGAAACGATAATGGATATTACTGTAAGTAATATATTTTTATTTAAATAAATATGTTTAGAGCTTCAACATTTAAGTATAATAGCACATGTCGGTTGTTATCAATATTGAATCAAGTCAGTAGGTCAGGTATTAAAATTAGTACAAATAATAATGCAGAATATTACGAAACTATTGCGTTCGAAATGAAAGGGAGAAAAATGATAACGCCTGTTACTTTGAATAATTTTTTTTAATTAAAAAAATTATATTTTTTGCTTAGCTCATCACATTTAAATATGATAGTATATATAAGTTGCTATAAATACTGTAAATGATTATCAGAGAAATTAGTCAGATGCTAAAATAAGTACAAATAATAATGCAGAATGCTATGAAATAGTAAGTTAAAAAGGAAAGAGGAGCTGGATATTACGGCATGTAATATTAACTGCGAAATGTTACTTTGATTAAAGACTCTTTACCTTTTAATCGAAAACTTTGAAAACGGAACTCAAAAGAACTTAATTAAAAGCTAAAATTGAAAGATAAAAATTCTATTGTTTTGACTTTTCATTTTCATTTTACGTTACTTTTTTATTTTACACAAAGTGCAAAGAGCAAAAAACGAAAAAGAAATATAAAAACGAAATAATCTGAATAACTTTCACATATAAAGACTCACTCTTAATGGTTCAGGGGGGTGGCCTCAAATATGTAATTAATTAGTGCAGACGATATTTTAAGTTACGAAATCAGACACAAAAAAAGTACTTTATCTGAATAAACATACATTTTTTCCAACGGTTTTGGATTCATTACTGGATTTGGATTCGCAATCTGGGAAAAATGGTCCTAATAGTTTGGTCAGGAGAGCGGTTGAAAGTTCGAACCCCTAAATTTGCTTTTTTCGTATTTCGTCATATCTCGAAAACTTCTTAAGCGAATAGAAAAGTTTTATCACGGTATCATGAACTAAATTTATCCAAAGATAATTCCATTGGAAAAATAATTTTTAATAATAATTTATTATTTTATTTAATAATAGTCGGGAATTTTTTGAAGTGCAAGGTAAATAAATTTTTAAATTTTAAAGAATGCAATTTTATATGGTAAAATGCAAAATTTTAATGAAATTGGTTGAATAGTTCTTGAGGAGTTGAATTTTAAATATCTGATGTTTTTCTCTTTTTTTTTAAAAAAAGGCTAAAAAATTTGCTTTTTCACATGATATTTTTGCGGTATACTTTTTAATTTAAATTATTATTATTTCGAATTCCAAGTCAGCTTTCTTAATTTTAAAAGGATTTTAAATAAAATTTGTCCATAATTTAATTTTTAATTTTAATATATGTCGTTTAGAAATAAACGTTTATTATCATAATAACTTAGAGAAATTTGCTGAATTTCTGCATACTTTAAAGTAAAATCAAAGTTGGACGACACTTTAGAATAATTTCAAAGTTCGCAACTTAAAGAGTGGATGTTGTTTGGAGAAGTATATGCGCAAAGTTTGACAATATTTTAGGTGAGTGAATGTGAAGTTTACAAGCAGTTAGGCGGGAATTTAAAGTTAGGCGATATTTTAGGAAAACTATTTAGTTATAAAATTGCTTAAAGTAATGTTTTGTTATAATTTAAACCTTCTTCATAATGCGAACACTAATTTAAATAAATTTCTTGCAGAAATGAAAGTTTGATAGGATGACAAGTTAAGTTAGACGATACATCAGAGTCACTGTTGTTGTTGTTATTTTGCTTTATAACCGTACTAGTAGTTGAACTGCCGACCCAATTTTGGGATTTACGACTCCTATTGCGCAAATCCGTAACTTTGTAATTTTTCAGTTTAGGACATTTTTTTTCTTAAATTTCTCAAGAATTACTTAGAAGATTATTTTTTTAACTTTAGAGGTGTTCAGCTCACACGATTTTTCATCCTTAGCAATAATGTTTTAAGCTTTCAGTGGTTTGAGGGATCGACAGTAAATTAAGATAAAAACAAGTATTTTTGAACACCCTAAGCTAGAAAATCAAGCAATAAGCTTGAAATTTTTATTGATAACTTTGGTTGTTATTTGCGCTAACTGCAAAACATTTCGTAAACCCAGCTTAAATATTTATGTAAATATGTACTACATTTTCATAAACTAATTTTTTTGTCTTAGGTTATTTTTGCTATAACTATAAAAATATTTAAATAAATTAAACAAAATTCATGAAAAAATTTAAAATTAATTACAAAATTGCTGTTTTGAAATCAGAAAAAATTTGAAGAAACCGCTTAAGATATGGATATATAAATTAGTTCTTTATACTGCGCATGAGCGGAAAAATTAAAAAAAAAATTCTTTTCTCTCCATTTTGACAACCAATGAAAAAAGTCTGTCTCCTTTTTGTCACTTTTGACTAGCCCTCCTAAGATATAACTAGACATTTTTTTTATTCGCTGCGAGCTTATAAAATAAAGGTTTACAGGAAGAATAATAAATTTTTCCACAACAATGGATAAATATTCAATATTTATCCAAATTTAGTACAAGTTTAACTGATAAACAGTGGTTGACAGTTGTCTATCTATGAACGTCTTTTAGAACATAAAATTTCAAAATTTTAGTTACATTTCTGTGGTTAGTATAGCGATTTGAATGATATTTTTTAAACCAAATTAACAGTTAATAATTATCGATCTAACAAATTTTAAACAAATAGCGACGGCGCTTAATTTTTTTTTTAGTTAAACGAAGTAATTTTGTCACTATTAATATAGCATTGATAAAAATTGAAAAAAGCATAATAAAAAAGCATTGAAATTTAGTTGAAAAAGCACTAAATATTATAATTATTCTTTAAATGAATATTACACGATATCAAATTGTGATGTATTCTAAATATGGTTCTGAAAAAGAAACTACAAAGTACTTTTTTAAAGAAAGTATTTATACTGAATTATATTGAAGAATGAATCGAAACTTACACGGATCTTTTCCCTTCAAAAGGAAGAGCAAAAAGAATTTTAAATTCAAATTTATTTTAAATATATTCGAAAAGTGTTCCTTAACTGATCCGAAGATTCCCTGTTTTCCCGGAATTTTCTTCCAAAGGTCCCCAACGTTCTCTTTGCATGCGAAATGCATATTGATTCAAATTTGGATATGTTTAAATTTAAAAGCAAACTTAAAATATTCAACGCTGTATCGTAGATCTCCCGGAATAAGCATTCATTATTTTACCAACTTATTATTATTAGCATTTTTTTAAGTTTTGTTTTTTTAATATTAAGTGCATAAATATTTTTTCTTCTTCTTTTTAAATCACGGTTGCGAAAAATTGAGTGAAGCGTTTGTTAAAGAAAGATGGGAGAAAAAATAGAGATACGTTAGGAAAAAGTAAAATTGGAAAGATGAAACAAATATATTGGGTGTTCTACACTCATTATTGTCGCATTTGTTTCACTCTAAACCGCATTCTATACATATTATTCCTTTTAATACAATTTCTAAATAAAAAAAGGTAGGCAAAAAATATGCACGTCAATACTTAAGTGAGGAAAAATTGAGTGATGCTTTTGTTAAAGAGAGATAGGAGAAAAAATAGAGATACGTTTGGAGAAAGTAAAATTGAAAAGGGGAAACAAATATATTGGGTGTTCTACACACATTATTGTAGCATTTGTTTCACTCTAAACCGCATTTTAATCATATTATTGCTTTTAATACATTTTCTAAATAAAAGAAGTAGACAAAAAATATGTAAGTTAATACTAGGAAAAATTGAAAATAATATTAAAATATGGCGAATTATTATTTAGAGAAACGAGCTTAATAGCGTCAAAACTTGATTGATTCCTGGAGGAAACTGAAAGGTGATTGAAAGGAAATTATTACAAATACCTCAGTATAATATTATAATTATTAAACATATTATTATAATTATCATAAATACCTTATCAAAATTTGACAAATTATTAACTAGGACAATGAGATTAAAAGCATGGAAAAAACTTGATTGTTGTTCAGATTTTGTCCTAAGTTTTGTCAATTTTTAAAAATGTTTTTTATTTCTCCTCGATTAAATATTAATTTGCAATAACTAATATATATATAAAGAGCATTGATTGCAGAACACTTATTGTTAGGATTATGCCAAAAATATTATAAATGATGCATTTTTCAATTATTTAGGTCTGTCTTAATAAATATCTATGATCAAGCCAGGTT